GGGCTGGAGAAGTGGCTCAGTGGTTAAGAGCACTGGCTGCTCTTCCAAAGGACTTGGGCTCAATTCCCAGCACCCACATAGTGCCTCACAACCATCTGTTACTCAAGTCCTAGGGGATCAATCTTCTCTTCTAGCCTCCAAGGGCATGGAGGTAGTGCACAGACATACAGACAGGCTAAACCTGAATACACATAAAATTTAAAAAAAAAAAAATTTTTTTTTTTTTTTGGTTTTTTGAGACAGGGTTTCTCTGTGTAGCTTTGCGCCTTTCCTAGAACTCACTCTGTAGACCAGGCTGGCCTTGAACTCACAGAAATTCACCTGCCTCTGCCTCCCAAGTGCTGGGATTAAAGGCGTGCGCCACCACCGCCCAGCAAAATAAAAATTTAAAGACAAAACAAAAAGCATACTTGGCACAGTTATTAACACAAACCAAGTCTGGCAAATCTGCAAGCAAAGCACAGCCTAGCTATTGTTCGGTTCCAGTTCTGCTGCTCTTAAGTTGCTTTGAGGGCAGATTTCACTCTGTAGCCCAGGACGGCCTCAAACTCATAAGTAAACCTTCTGCCTCAGCTCCTGGGGCTAAAATCACAGGAATTCTGGATCTAAAACATTTTTTAAGGAACAGGATTTTGCCAGGCTGTGGATGGGGAACGCCTTTAAATCTCAGCCTTTGGGAGACAGAGGCAGGGGAGGGAGATCTCTGAGTTTGAGGCCAGCATGGCCTACAAAGCAAGTTCCAGTACAGCCAGAGCTACACAGCGAAGCCCTGTCTTGAAAAAAAAAAAAAACTAATTAGTTTTTGCCAGGCATGGTGGTGCACACCTTTAATCCCAGCACTGGGCAGCAGGAGGCAGAGGCAGGCAGACCTCTATGAGTTCAAGGCCAGCCTAGTCTACATAATGCATTCCAGGACAGCCAGGAATATCAGTGTAGAGAGAAACCTGTCTCAAAACAAAACAAAACCACAAACAGGTTTTTCACAGTGTTGGCCAAGGCATCTTCCTGACTCAGCCTCTTGACTGCATACAGGTGTGCACCATTCAGTCCAACTACTCTCAATACAATGTTACTTCAAAACCTTAAAGGTCCAGCTGGAGAAGTGCAGCAGGTAAGAGCAATTACTGCTCTTTCCAAGACCCACATCTGAAAGCTACTGAACATAATTCTACTTTAGGGAGTCCGATGCCCTCGTCTAGTCTCGGCAGGCACCTGCAGATGCATGGCATATACTCACACAGACACATTCCTATAAATAAAAAAAATATCAAAAAAAAAAAAAACCTTTAAAGGACCATTTTAATAAGAAGTAAAACAAACACAGAGTACATATAATTTTTCTTGAGGCCAAAAAATTTTTAATTTTAACCAAATGACTCAATCATTTTTGCCCATTCAATAGTGCTACCATCTATTACCAAAAAAAAAAAAAAAAGTACAAAGGTGTTTTGCTCTTACTAGCATTATTATAATGGTTTGTTGAGAAATGCTGGCAATCTTCACACTACTACTCAATATCAGGGACTGGTGGTGTGTGTGTGTGTGTGTGTACTAGCATTATTATAATGGTTTGTTGAGAAATGCTGGCAATCTTCACACTACTACTCAATATCAGGGACTGGTGGTGTGTGTGTGTGTGTGTGTGTGTGTGTGTGTGTGTGTGTGTGTGTGTTTGCACACATATGCACAGTCCAGTTGTCTTCCTCTATGGCTCTCACTAGTTTCTGAGACAGGCCCTCTCACTGAACCTGGAGCTCACTGACCAGCAAGCCTTAAGAGACCCTCCTGTCTCCCCAGCATGGGCCAGAACAGTTTTTATGCAGATGCTTCAGAGCAAAATTCAAGTCCCCATGCTTTCGTGATAAGCACTTAACCAACAGCCATATCTCTGGCACCTCCATGATTGGTGAAATTTTGGATTATATTTCTTTCCAATCACCCTCCCCAAGAAATTTTTGTTGTTTTTCAAGACAGGGTTTCTCTGTGTCCTTGGCTGGCCTGGAACTCAATCTATAGACCAGGCTGACCTGGAACTCACAGATCCTCAGAGTGCTGGGATCAAAGATATTCGCCCATGTAAGACCTAATCTCCTTTTAAGGTGCTAATTAGTAAAGACTGATCATATTCAATAGCCAGATACAATGCCAGATAACTGTAATCTCACTTGCCTGGGAGGCAGAGGTAAAAAGACCACTTGAGTCAGGGGTTCAACAACACTCTGGGCAATGTAGAAAGACCTCAGATCTCAAAATAAATAAGGAAAAAAAAAGTTTGTATTCAGATTAAATAAACTCCTGAGAATTCAAGACAAGAATTTAAGGGAGACTGAAAACCTGTCAATCAGTTTGATCCCAGAATCCACATAAAGGTGAATGAGAGAACGAACTCCACAAGGTTTTCCTCTGACCTCCAAACATAAACCAGGCATGCAAGCTCAACTGCACTGGCTCTCGCATACTTACATGCACACTTACATGCACGCACACACAATTATTTTAAACATTAAAGAGGAATCTAGATTATCTTCTCTGAGTGGGATTGGATAGAAAGCCTCAGAATCAAATGAGGAACTGTGAAGGCAGAGGGCCTCTCCAAGTGCCAACTACAGCATCTCCTGTCCTGCTCGCCGTTCTCCACCTACAGAACTAAGGCCGTTGCAAAGCATCTCCGTTTGTTAAAATAAGCGTTAGAATGGAAAGAAATAAGATATGAGTATGCTAGCAGGTAACCCTAGCACCTGGAAGGTTGAGGCAGGAGGATTGGGAGTTCAAGGTCATCCTCACCAAACAGCATATTCTGAGACAAGCAGAAGCTACGTAAGACCCTTTGAGAAAACTAAAAATGTACCTTAATATTACGTTAATATTAATATTCTTGGAAGACCCTTTTGAAGTCATGTGAGAGCCTTGCACACTGAAGCCTCTCCTCAGGACTAAGAGTGTAGCTCCACAGGGAATGTGCTCAGCATGAACGCGACTTGGGCACCAGCCTGAGCACCACCCGGGAAAAGCCCCTAACCCAGACAACAAAACTCCTAAACACAATCTAAAGGTTTCATGGACCTCCTTGAACTGTCGAGAACAAAAGTTCTTGCTGTAGCCTTGTGATTTCCTTGGGACATGACCGGACCCACCCCCCAACATCTGAAAGGTAAAGAGGAGCAAATTGAAGCTCCAGCTGTACCAGATTCTACCTTGGTCCAATTGCCAGTCTATCATCTGTCATCAGGGGTCAAAGGATTCCTTTTCTTTCCTTTTTTGAGACAAGAACATGGACGTAACCCAGGCTGAGCTGGAACTCCCAATCCTATAGCCCAGCCTTGGTGCTGAAGTACAAGCTCTCACCACCACGCCCAGATTTTCTCTCACAACAGAGCCTAAAAGCTTATGGACAAATCAATTCACAAGTGCCTGGTAAGCCTGTCAGACTCTCAGCACCCCTTTCTGACCCTTCCTACTGCTGTGGCTACAGACTAATGAGAAAGCGACAGAAACAGGGCACTTTCTCCATTCAATATTCCTGTCCGGAGCACTTCCTGGATTTTTCATTGGCATTTAATACCAAGGCATAAGACTCATTTTTCATTAAAGTTGCAAGACTTTCACTTTGCCCAGTTTCAAATGGTGTAATTGATCTGCATTGTCTTCTTAAATAACCCGACTGGTGAAGGACACTGCAGCTTTAAATATTTCAGTGCTAGCTAGCACATAGACTCCATTGCAATATGGCTCTGAAGGTCGTGTCCTATTGTCTGTCTCCTGGAAAAAAACCTAAATCCTTCTTTTAAGGAACATGGGAATAGTCCCCCTAGAATTTCCACTCTTCTACTTCCGTCCCGTATAGTTCAGGGTGTTTATTGGAATCTCACACTCAATTTTCCTGGCAAGGGCCATATGCTGATTATTAGTGATTCCAGCGCCTGAGTGAGACATAAACACATGTGTTCACATTAGTTTAGTTGGGCATATGCAACTATTTGAAATAGCACCACTCAAAGGCTATTAACCGCTTTAAGAGTAAAGCCAGGGTGGTTTGGGCGTGGATGGCTTTCCGGCACCTTGAGCCTAGGATTGCGTAACCTGAAAATGTGTAGCTACTTAAAATGATAGGAATCTCAGCCTACTCCTCTTGGGACTACTCCGCACCTGGCTGTACAATTGCGGCTTCGTTTGTCAAAGAAAGCCAAAATAAGAAGCACAAGCACAGTGAAGGAAGAAATGAACTGGAAGGAAAAAAAAGAAGGCCCTTTTCTGCCCAGCAGCAGTCACAATGTTCCCCCAACCTCACCCCCCACCCCCACCCACATTGGGAGGAATAGTCCCAATGAACCCAAGATTTGAAGGGAGCTGTACTTTGCCATCCCTTCTAAATAACAGCGGGTGGAGCGATTAAAAAACAACAACAACAAAAAACCGGGAAGGGGGGGAAACCGGCGGGAGGAAGGCGTGTGCAAGAGCACGGGGGTATTACCTGAAAAGGCAACAGATTGTTACCATTATCGGTCCGGAAAGCGTTATCCTCCATCCAGGATTTGGAGGTGAGCGGGGCCGCACGAGGGAATTTGGGCGGTGCGATCACATTGCTGGAGAAGGGCTTTTTGAGCGGCGAGATGGGGTTAAGCGGGGAGGGTACCCCCACACCCACGCCCACACCCACGCCGACAGCGCGGCGAGGGTCCCGGCCAGCCTGTAGGCCACCCCACGGGTTGGACGGGGCACTCCAGGCGGCGTTCACGCTTTGGTGCGTGTTCCAGCTGGACGAGGCCGAGGAGGCGGCGGCCGCGGCAGCAGCGGCTGCAGCCGCCGAGGATGAGGACGGCTTGCTGGTCATGATGGGTTGGTGGCCGTAGGCGGCGGCGCTCCTCTGCGCATAGGGCGCCTGGCTGGGGCTGGCGGGCGAGCGGCGTTGCTGCGAGGGCTGCGCCTGCGGGGGCTGCGCGGGCTGCGGCGGCTGCGGCGCGGGCGGCGGCGGCTGCTGGTGGTGCTGGGTCTGCGCCAGGCCGATCTGCGGGGAGAAGGTGCCTCCGAAGACCGGGTTGACGTGGTGCGGGAAGTTTTGGAAGAGCATGGTCCCGTTGACCGGGGTGATCCCCTGGAAGAAGCTGTCCTCTACCGCGTTCGTCGTGCCCGTGGACCAGGTGCTGCCAAAGGACGGCGACAGCGACGCTCCGGGCGCCGCGGGCTCCTGCGGCGGCGGCGGCGGCTGCTGAGGGGGCTGATGGAAACTCAAGCCCGGCAGGAGCGGCGACTCCATCTGCATCTTGTCGGGGCCGTTGGGGGCTGGAGGGGCCGAGGCGGGGCTGAGGGCCGGCACTGCGCTACTGTCTTCGGGCTTGGGGGTCTCTGAGGAGAGGGGCGTGGACGGGGCTTCGGCTGCGCCGGGCTCGGGCTGGAGCTGTTGCTGCTGCTGCTGCCGCTGCTGCTGCTGCTGCTGCTGAGACTGGGGCTGGGTTTTGCTTTTGTCCATCAGTAAATCATCCTGCATGGTTTGCGCAGCTGAAACGGGAAGAAAGAGAGATGCGTTATTGTCAGTGTGATCATGAATGCCCTCACTGAAGCGGGCGGGTGTTTTACTTGCGAAAATCCAGTGCCACCGCCACTAGCCAATTGCAATGCAAATCCATAAGCTCGCATTTAGAAGAGCAGGTCGGGCTGGAGAAGGGGGGTTGGGGTAGGAGGGCTCGAACAAGGTCTCTAAAAACACTCCGAGAGCGTCTTCACCCTTTCTGACGTCTCTGTCCTTTTTCTGTACTAGTGAGAGATGTGCTTATAAGACAGAAAGACAGCAATTTCGCCACGTCTCTTTCCCCTTCACCGGAACTCCGAGCGTTCATCCTGCGATGAGAAACTGATTCTGGTTCCTGTTTTTTTCCCAAGCACCACCCTCCCCCAGCTATTTGCATACGTCAATAAATAGTGCTGCGTCCTTCAGCAAGGTTAAAAAGACGTGATACACGACCCTCTCTTTTCCCCTTCCCCAGCTGGAGCACTTTTAAAAAAAGAAAAGAAAAAACAACAAGAAAAAGACAGCCCTCTTGATTAGCAAACTGCCTTCTTGCTGCGGATAATTGTTTCATTTGGCTGCAGCGAACCACGAGAGAGGAAATCTTAGGCATTTGTTGGAAGAACTCAGCTGCACAATCATTCTCTGGCCTCTCAGTAGCGGCAGCTACTCCATTTTGTTAGGAGACGTTTTAATATAAAAGAAAACCCAGTTTTTAAAAAAGAGGAAAATCGCCGGGCGTGGTGGCGCATGCTTGTAATCCTAGTACTCTGGAGGTAGAAGCAGGAGGATCAAAAATTCAAGGTCAGCCTTGACTACTTAGCCAGTTCGAGTCCAGCGTAGTATAAATGAAAAAAATGACTCAAAAAGAAAAAGGAAAGAAAAGGAAAAAAGAAAGAAAAGAAACCTACTGAAACGTTTAGACGTGTTTGCTTCTTATTACTCTAAGGATTGTGGTTTTTCTGCTTATTCTCCAATTTTCTCGTCTCCAATTCACCGCCCAAGAGATTTCCTGGCTTCTTGGCGTTTCAGGTCTCAACGGGAGCCTGAGAAATTCTCTGCAGAGTGGAGAAATGCTTCTGGTTGGATTTGAGGTCAGAGGGAGGGAGGTGGGGAGAGAGAAGGGAGGGAGTCTGTGAGATGGAGTGGGGGCGGGACTTTAAAAATGCATCTGAGATTTAAGTAGACAGTCAAGATAATTCTGGGGTTGCCAGATTTTCATTTTTGAATCCTCCTGCTGCTGCCTCGGTCACAAGACTGGCAAATTTAGAATCCATTCTTTTATCACTAGTATTAACAGTGAAAGACTATGGTTTGACGACCCTGAATTACCATATGCTAGCAACTGTTAAAAATAGAGGAGTACAAAGTCCCAAATTCTCATCCATTGTAATTATAGTACATTACCCTCACTGCTTCATTTAGCCATATAAGGAGTGTATGGTATTTTCCACTTCACATACAAGAGCTATATTCACCTCTGTCATACAACCTGTTTTCTTACTCAAGGATGAAAACAGTAATCACTCAAAACCAAAAGATTTCCATGTGTGTAGTTATCACTGAATTAGCTTGTCTCAGAATATGTTAATTGCTTTAAATATCTGAATATTACAGGGCTGAGACCTTGAAAACAAATATTTTGAAATGTTAAAGGAGCTATGACCAAATATATAATTATTTTTAGATGATTCAGTACAATTGCAACAAAGTGATTAATATATTTAATACAGTTAATTAATTCATATACTGGAAAAGCATCTTTCTTGGGACATTTGTAAAAGGGCATTCAGAGACACACAACAGCTCTGCCATTGGACTATTCAAGATAACTCTTAAAATGGAGGTATCTCTCTTAACTATTACACAAAGGCTATCAGACAAGAAGTTGGATTAACTATTCTGTTTTATTAAAACTATCACTAAGAGATACCATCTTTCACTTCAAAGTTTCATATACAAAGAGCACAGTGGGCTTAGGGAAATATTTCACTTCTCAAACACCTTACTTGCCTTTTTATTCCTCTCTTCCCTGCCCAGTCCCCTCCCCTAGAAAAAAGCCCAGCCCAGGATAATATAACATGCACCAGGGGTTGCCTGCTACTGTCAATGTAGCTTGCTTTAGATTGCTCTTATGTTCCTCGGTTCCCTCTATCTAAAACAATGGCTTTGATTAGTATTATGAATAGTGCACAGAGAGAGTGAACCTTGCATTCAGACAGTACAAAGTTCCATCACTACCAACGAGGATGGTCACAGAGACATTTTCATACTTCCTTCTTACAATGCTGCAGGAGACCATTATACTTCTGGAATTTGAGTGTTTGGGTGAGCTAGAATTTTCTTTACAATAGCTATATCATCATGGCTGAAATATGTATTGGATTATAATTTTAGTATTACCCAGCTTTTCTTATTGTTTGTATTCAACACTTTTTGTTAATGCCTTTAGCTTAAACTGCATGCTTTTGATGGGAAAAAATGCTGTACTTTACCACCCAACCAAGCCAAAAAGTAAATTAGACTCAGAATATTTTATAATGGCTTTAATTAATAGTAATACTACCTCATTAAATTCTCAATGTTATAACAAAACACTCCTTTATTTTCTCAATGCTCTTTAAAAATAATACAAATTTCACTTAATGTATAAATTCACTGTCAAGGTCAAGACCCACCTTTTAATAAATAAGATATTTTAAACAAAAGCTAAGTCAGCAATTAAGATAAAATTTACAAAGTCAATATGCAGTATCCTTAAATAACTGTCTGTATAATTTGCTTTGGAGGGGTTTTTGCTTATATATAGCAAAGTCTGAGAAATAGATGCCTGTTCCCCTCCCCCACCACACACAATAGATCGGCTTTTACATGCAATAACCCAAATTCAGGTAATAAATTCATAGCAGCAGTTACCTTTAAGTGTCCAGTTTTTAAGGATCAATAAAATGAAAAATGAACAGTATTTATTTCTTCTTTCGGGGTGATTATGTGACCGCTCTGGAAAAGCACTTTGACAACTGTAAGAAGAGTGGGCATGCGCACACAGAGGACTGTGGGGGCTGAAGTCCTTCACAAGGTACTCTGCCCGGCTTCAGCACGTTCAACCGGGAAAGGAGGAAGCCTCGTAAATACAGATTCCAAGGGGGAGAGGTGGTGCCCGGATTATATTAGAGCCTCCTAACCAATCTAAATCAGGAGTTGTTGAAATAAAAGAAGGAAAAATAAACTGGGTTGTCAACTTGATTTAGGAAGCAAGGCTAAAAGAGAAAGTAGATTGTAGGACTGTGAATAAATAGATCCAGCCGAGCTACCTTAAATGGTATTATGATGGTAATGGCTGGGTAGCCAGCAACAGGAACCCTACTAGAAAGAAAGAGATTAGGGTGTGGAAGAAAAAAATCGACGACGGAGAATCACTGGAGAATGACAAACACTTAAAGCCCCCACCCCCAGTTGCTTTGTTCTGTTTTGAGACACAGGAGACAAGGTTTCCCTACATAGCCCAGGCTAACCTGGATTCTCTGGCCTCATCACCCACCAGCTGGGGTTATAGATATGTACTACCTTATTTGCTTAAAGAAAACACTTTTAATACCGAATTTTAAAAGTGCCTTAATACTAAATGTGCTCCTGACCTTGGAGGTAAAAATTAGTTTTGATGGAAAATGTCTGACATTTTATCTCCTAGAACTGACCGACTGAGGAGACAGGCGCTCCCTATGTACCACCTGATGACTTGGAACTGGCTGTGTAGATCAAGCAGGCTTTAAAACTGCACCAGTCCCCCTGTCTTTGCCTCCCCAGTGCTGGAATTAGAGGCTTGTGCCACCACGCCCAGCTCAGGATTTCTTTGTATTTGAATCTTGACTGGATGAGCAAAGCCCACTTCATAATCCCAGCACTAGTAAGGCTGAGGCAACAGAATGACTGTGAGTTCTGGAACAGCCTGGGCTACACAAACCAAAAATAGGCTGGGGAGATAACTTAGATGATGAAGTCCTTACTCAATGAGTATAAGAACCTGAGTTAGAGCCCCAGAACCCATTAAAAAAATAGGGAGGTTGTAAGGGTGGTGGGCAGATATGAAGGGACTGGGAGACGGATAGGATCGGGATGTATGATGTGAAACCTACAAAGAATCAAAAAGTCTACAGCTGTATCACCATGACCTCAACAGATCTCCTCTGATCTAAGCAGGGATTGGTTAGTATTGGGCTGGGAGACTGCCTGAGATAACTAGGTACTGTAGGCTCCTGGCCTCCCCTTCTTTCCATTTTGGCCACGACAGAGGGCCACTGCATCATGCCCCCACACCCATCTCCACAACAGGAAAAAAATTAGCAGACTGTTCCTCAGGAAGGACACCTGAGTTGGACCTCTGGCTTCCACTTGTACTTATTCACACATGCACATACACACATACATACACCAATGCAAAAAAAATTCTACCTGTATGATCTGAGTCAACTCACCTTATTTTTGCCTGATAAAATGAAAGTCTACTTTGCATTACTGATATAGTGATCAAATAAAATTCAACTCTTTCACTGAAAAATATTTGATAACATATTAATTAGTAAATAACTTAAAACCTTAAGAGTATAACTGCATTGGACAATGACTTCTTTGTTTAAGATTAAAAAATACATATAGTTTCTACTTGGGGGAAATTGTAGAGGGACATATTTGGTTGTTTTTGAAACTGGAGGTCATTTAGCCCAGGCTACCCTTGAAATTGCTATGTAGCTGAAGATGCTCTTGAACTTCTGACCCTTCTGTCTCTACCTCCCAAGTGGTGGGATTACAGGTGGTCCCACACCCAGCCTATTATTTTTTATTATTAAACTTAGTGTATAATTGTCCCTATTTTAACATAATGATTTCGGGCTGAATCTCACAACCTATTAACATCAACTGTCATTATGTATAGCTCCTGAAAGCAATAACTCAAGAGCTAAGTTTGCTCATGTAGGCAGAAGATAGTGTTTCTTGTGGGATCTGGTTCTATGCCATTTACCCATGGGGTTCAGAGTAAATGTCAGCTGATGACTACGCTGACTGCACTTAGAATTGAAAATGCTAAGCATCATTTACAACTGTCTTAATTTTCTGTTTCCCTTTCTTACAAGTCAGAAGGAAAGTTTATCAGAAAGTACCAATTTCCATTTTTTAGTAGTCTTTGTTTCTAGTTATTTTTTTCTTCTGTCCTTCCTTTTAGTTTTTGTTTGTTTTTGTTTTAGTGAGTTTTGTTTTGTTTGAGACCACATCTAGTTTATGCAGTGCTGGGATTACAGGGGGTGCCACCACATCTGGTTTATGCAGTGCTGGGATTACAGGGGTGTACTGCTGTGGAATAATGTTTTTGTACACTGGTTTAATAAAACATTGATTGGCCAGTAGTCAGGTAGGAAGTATAGGCAGGATAAGCAGACAAGGAGAATTCTGGGAAGAGGAAGGCTGAGTAAAGGGACACCAGCCTGCAGTCCAGGGAGCAACATGTAATGGCACACAGGTAAAGCCACAGAACATGTGACAACATATAGATTAACAAATGGGCCGAGTTTAACTGTAAGAACTAGTCAGTAGTTAGCCTGTGCTAATGGCCAGGCAGTTTTAATTAATATAAGCCTTTGTGTGTTTACATGAGTCTGAGCGGCTGTGGACTGGGCAGGACATAGAAAAACTTTCAGGTACAGTGTACCACCACATCTGGTTTATGCAGTTCTGGGATTACAGGGGTGTGTCACCACATCTAGTGTATGCGGTGCTGGGATGAACTCAGGGCTTCATGCATGCTATACAAGTACTCTTTCAACTAGACTACATCCTTAAGCTGTGCCCAGTTATTTCTTCCCTTGGGTTTTGTTTTTGTTTTTGTTTTTGTTTTTTTTCAAGACAGGGTTTCTCTGTGTAGTTTTAGTGCCTGTTCTGGATCTCACTCTGTAACCAGGCTGGCCTCGAGCTATTTTTCTCTGTGTAACAGTCTTGGCTCCTGGCTGGCCTCAAACTCACAGAGATCTGCCTGGCTCTGCCCCCCAAGTGCTGGGATTAAAGGTGTGTGCCACCGCTGCCCATTTTAGTTACTCACTTCAAAGTACAGTAAGTGTCCAGGTAAGTATGAGTAGTGCTCATAATCACCTACCAAGGTCAAAAACAAAGTTTATCTTTTTCTAGCCTATGAATTACCAGTAGATCTGTACTTGGAGTCAGCTGGATTAATAAATGTTTAAGTAAACCATTTCAAACATACACCTGAATAATAAAACAAAACAAAATGGATAAAAATCCTTTAGGGGAGAGGGGTGGTAGGGGGCTAGGTAGCAAGATCTCCAAAGGCAAGATCTCCAAAGGCTGGAGCTAGTGTGAATCCTCCTGTCTCAGCCTCCGAAGTGTTGGGATTGCAGGTACACACCTCTATATCTCCTACTTAAATGGTTAGGTTCCCCCACCTCCCGCCCCCAAAATAACTGGAGGGCTGGGTGGTGGTGGTGGTGGTGGTGGTGGTGGTGGTGGTGGTGGTGGTGGTGGTGGTGGTG